TAGATCCCGAGAGGAGAATGGAGGAGAAGGGATTGTGGTGTGGCCATCCTCCGTGGGGATCAATGTTCCCTTTCTATCTCTCTGTCTCTCTCTGTCTTTCTGGTGAGCGCACGCGCCCTATCACTAAAACCTCTTAAAAAAAAAATGACAGGTTGGAGAGAGCAGAGAGCACTCTACTGCCCTTATTTTTCCTTTCATAATGTGATAATACAACAAGAAGGACCTCACCAGGCACCAAACACTGGCCCCTTGTTCTTGGACTTCCTAGCCTCCAGAACTATAAGAGATAAACTTCTGTTCTTTATAAATTACCCAGTCCAGGTATTTTGTTATTGGCACAGACACATGTTCAGAGTTCCAGGCCCAGGAAAGAATTAAAATCAGAGTTGACCAAACTTCAGCCACGGCTGGTTCTCCGCAGGAAAGGGGACTGTGAGAGTCCAACATGAAGGAATCATAAGAACTCACAGAGGCAGGTGCATTTCTCCCCCAGAGAGATAGCATACAACTGAGTCCTTCTTCCTCATAGTTTTAGAAGTCACGCACTATCCAGACCATGTCCAGCCCAGGCGGTACCCACCTTCTGGACTTCCCCAGAGGAGATATTGCAGGGGCTGTTGGAAGGGTCTGCACGTTTGCACCGCTGTTCTCCACTGCTCAGGGCCCAGGAGTTGGCAAAGTCATAGGGGTCCGAGGTCAGGGTTCCTGTGGAGCAAAATTTCAGGAAAACGATTCTTCAGTTATGCCTGTCCCAAGGATGAAAACTCTAGGTCTGTTGTTACTTGAATCAGTCTTCCATTAGATTAGACAACAGGTATTTGGTGTGGGGAGCACCTTTTGTACAGTGCTTAGAATAATACCACAGGGCATGGGCGTCAGAGCTCAGTAAATGTTTGGTGAATGGTGGACAGAGAATGGATGGATGAGCACAGTGCAAGAGATGACTCGGAAGATGATGAGGAATTTGCACATGCACTGTCACTTCTCCAGGCCTATATACCTCTTTCTCCCTCTGCGTGGAGCCTCCTCCTCCCCCCTCCCCCTTATTGCCCTTACTATCTCCACTCTTTCTTTTTTTTTTTTTTTTTGGAGAGGTTTTTGCTATAGGGCATGTGCGCTCGCCAGACAGACAGAGAGAGACAGAGAGACAGAAAGCGAGAAATCACCTCCCGGGGGGATGGCCATGCCACAATCCCTTCTCCTCCATTCTCCTCTCGGGATCTTGGGCACACACGCACACGGGCCCGGCATGAGTTTAAGCCACCGGGTCCAGGACTCGAACCGTGGTCAACTACATGGGAGTCCAGCAACATAGCCATTACGCTAACTGCTGGTCCCCTCCACTCATTCTTTGAGATGTGCTCAATAACATCCTTTTCCAAGGAGCCTTTCTGAATTGGCTCCCCTCCCTCCCCTTCACCCCAACCTAGCTGGGTATGCCCCTTCTCTGTGTTCCCTCAGCACCCCGGGTATCCCTCTACTAAACTCCCATTATCCTCAATTTAGTATTCTTTTTGTTTATATTCATCCCCCACAAAATTGTGAAGTTTTTAATTAAGGGCACAAGCTGTGTCTATTATCTTTAAGTTCTTATTTGATAGATTATAAATACTTAAAATATTTTTGCAGAAGGAAGGTGAGGATGTGACTTGGAACCTAAGCACCTCAGTCACTGCATCCTCCAGGCTCTCACAGCATCTGTGCGTCAGTATTTAGAGCATCCATGCTACTGACAGCTACCTATAATAAACTGTGAGGGCCTCAGTGTCTACACTGCCTGGCGCGAAGTAACCTAATAACACTAGTGAATCTTTATTTATAGTATTGAGATGAGTAGAACTTTGCAGAGGCAGGCCTGGAAAAGTGAAGGATGTTTCAAAGTAAATAACGCACTTAGGGATAAAAAATAAACTATGCCTGGGAAAAGAAAATAAAGTGAGGCCTTTGAAGTAGAGTTAGTTGGCATCTGGGTTTTGATAGGCAGACAAAGGAAAAGCACCCACACTCCAAAGGTATTGGATCGCTGAAAAAGTCATGACATATTTTTTCTATGTTTTCCTATGCCTTTTCCGATGACCCAATGTACTCACTTCCTAGTCCCCGAAACTTGTGAATGTTATCTTACATGGCAAAAGATGTGATTAAGTTAAAGATCTTTAGGAGGGAGCCCCTGTCAGGTGGCTTGGTGGGCCTTAAATGCAATCACAGGTATCCTTATAAGAAACAGGTAAAGGAAGATCAGAGATACACACAGAGGAGAAAGCCATGTGAAGATGGAAGCGGAGATTGGAATCTCATCACAAACCAAGGAAAGCCTGCTGGAAAGTGACAAGGAGCAGACCCCCTAGAGCCCCTGGGGGAATACAAACAGCCCTGCCCACATCCTGACTTTGGATTTTTGGTCTTCAAAACTAAGGAGAATATATTTCTAGGTTTTTAAAAAATAATTATTTACTTAATTTTACTTATCATTATTATTATTTTTTTAAATTTGACCAGAAAGAGAGTGAAAGTAAGAAAGTAAGCCTCCAGGTCCGGGACTCAAACTGTAATCAGCCATGTGGGAAGTTTAGTGCCTTAACCACCATTCCACCCACTGGTCCCAAATTTATATTGTTTTAAGCCACCCTATTTGTGGCAATTTGTTGTCACCCCTAGGAAACTAATATATGAGAGAAGCCAAGAGAAGGGAGTTTAAGTTTGTGGAATGACTATTTGCCAGGCGTTGTGAGAGGTGCTTACTGGGGACCCGATCTTGCGAGAAATACAGGCTTGGATGCTTTCCAATACACTGTATAAGGAAGAGGCATAGAAGAAGCTCTGACGGAGAATAGCTCCTTCTCTGTGTGTCCTGGGCTTATCCCACCAATCGAGTGAGCCCAATTCCTCATATGTGAATGAGAGGTAAGACTATATGAACTCCAATATCTCGCCAAGCCTGACCTTCGTTGAAGGGAAACTTGGTAGGTTAAATCTGAAATGAAGCATAAGGCTATCCAACAGACAGAACTATCAATATTCTTGTTTACAGAAAACCCTTGAGAGCCAGAGTTAAACCTAAACTGGGAAAACTTCCAGAAGTTAGGAAGTAAGATGAACTGTTTGGGGACAAATACTGTTGAGTTTTTATTAACCAAAGAGAACTGAATTCCCAGTCTTCTGAAGATAATTCCCCAAATATCACCACAGCCCTGATTCTTGTCAATAAACATCACCTTCTCCTTCATAGATAGCATAGGTCCCATTTTTAGTTGTTGGAACCTGAAAGCCTGGAATTAAAAGGAAATATAGTTTAAGGATAGAATGTTCACACCTAGTAATATGGCAAATTTGAAAAATCTGAAAACCATGCCACTCCCACAAACAAATATCTTATTAAATTCATGGCTAATGTCCCGTCAGAAAGTAGGAGGAATTCCAAGAGACAAAAAGAAAAGGAGGAGGAAGTAAAGGAGGATGAGAAGGATAAGGGGAGAAAGCTGAAAATGGAACTGACAAGTGACAAGTGTCATGATGTCTATAGGGTATTAGAGCGAGGGTGATAATCTTACCAACCAAGAGGCTTGGGGTTTTGTCTGTTTGTTTGTTTTTTGGTTTTTTTGTTTTTTGGGTTTTTTTTGGTTTTTCTTTTTTTTTTGGTTTTTTTGAGAGGTTTTTTCGCTATAGGGCGCGTGTGATCGCCAGACAGACAGAGAGAGACAGAGAGACAGAAAGCGAGAAATCACCCCCCAGGAGGAATGGTCATGCCGCAATCCCTTCTCCTCCATTCTTCTCTCGGGATCTTGGGCACGCACGCACACAGGCCCGGCGTGAGTTTTAAGCCACCGGGTCCGGGACGCAAACCGCGGTCG